TAATCAAGGCGAACAATAGCAAAAAATACTATTTTCTGCTACTAAAGTTAAAAAATGAAAATAACAAGATCAGGGTGCAAGTAAAATAACTAATTTTGATCCTCTTTTCATTTTATGACCACTAGGCAATGTAATATTAAGATTTCACATTTACTGGAGTTAAAAATGAATGAAATAATTATAAAACCTTTTGGTAATATTAAGAATAATCTATTATATTAATAAAATATTTTTTCTATATTGGTAACTTCAAATATTTTGGCTGAATTATTGTTTAAAATATTTTTCTGGTATTTTTTTCCCCCCGAGATAAAGACTTACAGTTCCACATGGCAAAAAAGAGCCCCTAGGATAAAATTTAACCCTTTCAGGGGACATCGGAATTCTAGCATATCACTAGGATGTCCCCTCTCAGGGGGGACATTGCAGTTTATTAGTGATTACGGGGAATTGAGTTAATTCAACGCACGTGTCCGCCGCAAAGTAGCGTCGAGTAGCTGGTAGCCAATGTCCAGAATGGTTCAGAGTGTAAAGGGTTAAGGGAAAGCTATCATTATGCTAAATTCCAGAGTTGTAAAGCCCTCTGCCTTTTAGTTTGCAATGCTAACCAGAGTCCAATGTATTAAAACATATATACAGGGTGTGGCAAAAGTAGATCTAGTATTCATATAGATAATTAAGACAATACAAAAATAAACTCTGTTGTGTGTGCTTACAACTGTAAACCTAATTTTGCTCCACCCTGTATATTAGAAAACTGTTTAAAAGTAAATGGAAGTGTTCAGATAGATAATTTATATGTTAAAGGAACAAAGTAGAGAATTCACCATGTGGCTGGAGGCATTTGTGACTCCTCCGTATTTACATGTACTTTGGGTTTAAAAACTAGTACTTCTTCCTACACACCCATAATAAATTTCTGGGCATTTTCATAAACCACAATAATGTTCTAAAAAGAAAAAAACAAAAGGAAACCAAAATGAAGTATTCAAATAAAAGTTATACAGGTTTTAGAAAACTACAGTAATCTTACTTGATTTCTTTCTTTTAAAAAATGTTTTTTAAGTGATTTCAGAGAGGGGAAGGGAAAAGGAACAGAAACATTAAATGATGAGAATCATTAATCGGCTGCCTCTTGCACAACCCCTACTGGGGATTGAGCTTGCAAACCAGGCACATGCCCTGACCAGGAATTGAACTGTGATCTCCTGATTCATATGTCAACACTCAATTACTGAGCCACAACAAGTTTTTGTTGTTGTTAATACTCACCCAAAGATACTTTTTCCATTGATTTTTTTAGACAGAGTGGAAAGGAGGGGGAGAGACAGAGAGTGAGAAACATCAAGGTAACACATCCATTGATTGTCTCCTGCACATGCCCCAACCAGGACAGGGATCTGAGCCTGCAACTGAGATATGTGCCCTTGACCTGAATTGAACCCAAGATCCTTTAGTCCATGGGCCGACACTTCAACCACTGAGCCAAACTGGCTAGGACTTGAAATGTGAGTTAATGAAAGCAAATCTTATTTGCTTTCATTAACTCACAAGTAGTAAAAAAATATCCATAGAAGCTATAGAAACAATCAAATTAGTTCACAGGTAGTAATAAGAAACAACTAAATAGAAGATATCTAGCACAATATTTGAAAGGAAATGTATCATCTTTTATACTAGAATAGGGTCATATTCTTGGGGGAAATATTAATATAATAAAATCAACATACTTATCTAACATGCCATATCTATACAGAGAAATCTCACTAGCTGCTGAATACCAAAAAGGCTAGAATAAAATTTAAAACCAAATAAAAATAAGGGAAAAGTGAAATTCTATAGGGTAATTTAGCTCCAGAACTTGTAATTGTCCTAAAGGCATCTCTGTCGCCTTGCAGCCAGAAGGACCCCAGTCATAAGGAGCTATGGCTGTATGGGGGACAAGAATCATGGTCTGGGGCTGTATTAGTCTGCTCTGGTGGCTATAGTAAAACACCACAGATGTCACAGCATAAACAAACATTAATTTTCTCTAGTTCTGGAGGAAAGTAGTACAACAATCAAGCTGTCAGAAAATTCCATTTCTGGTGAGGCGTCTCTTCCTGGTTTGCAAATAGCCACCTTTTTGTTGTGTCATGCAAGCTTTCCCTGTGTGTAGAGTGTGCTCTGTGGTCTCTTCCTCTCATAAGGACACCAGTGCTTAGGGCCCCACCCTTAATACCTCCTTTAACCTTAATTACCTCCTTGAGGCCCTATCTCCAAACATAGTCACATTGGGGTTAAGGCTTTGACATATACATTTTGAGGGACAGAATTCAGTTCATAACAGGGTTGAGGTGGAGAAACAGGATTGAGGAATCTCCATAGGGAACCACTTTCAGTGAGTGAACTAGGAAACCACCTAAAGTTTCTCTCTTTCCTTGAAGTAGAGCTTTGAAGGGGAAACAGTCTCCTCTAGGAATGCCACTCACGGCCCAACACTATGTTTAAGGATGAAATTCACACTACTTCTAAAAGTGTGTGAGAGTGCATGTGCCTGTGGTAAAGAACAGAGGAGGGGGAGGCGGGAACCCAAGGTGGACATTGACTTTGAAGTGGCCCAGGGTTAGTAGTGTCTCAAGGAACAAACCAGTGGTTCTAGAAAGAGAAATCTCCTCAGTGTAAGCATACTTAAAAGATTCTCTAAAATCAAGTAAAGAAGAATATGAACTCACAGTCCAAATCACTGATCACATTAGAAAACAAATTACCATAAACTTGTGGAAAAAATAGCAAACAACAAATTGTAGAGTCAGATCCACAAAAAAAGTAATTTAATATGTTTAAGGAAAAGAAAAAGAGGGAATAATGGAATTATCCTAAATGACAGGAAAGTGTGAGAAAGAACCAAACAACATCTGGAAATGAAAGAAAAAACACACAACCATAATTTATGATAGGTTAAGCAGGTTAGAAACAGTGAGAAGACAGAATGAGTGAAGTGAGCAAGAGTTAAAGAAACTATCCAGAATTTGCATGCATGGTCAAAATTCTACACACAGACAGAGGCAGAAAATATGAATCAGAGATACAGAGAACAGAGTGAGACCGTAAAACATAAGTCTAATTTGATACCCGAAAGGAGAGAATAGACAGAATGAAGGAAGTACAATATTCAAAGAAATGAAAATTGAGAATTTTTAGAGTTTATGAAAGATACAAATTCGTAGATTCAAGAAGCTCAATGAATCTGAACAGGATAATTTTAAATACTGAGAAAAAATGACTGTCAACACAGCTAACTTTCAGGAATAATGAAATGATAAACTTATAGGTAAGTCTAAATAAATATTGACTGCATAATTATTTTTGGAGTTAAACTGAGATAAAATAAACTTTAGACGCTAATTTATAAGTTGGGGGGATCAGACTTTGTACAAAAGTCTCATGTTTAGAAAGAAAATATTTTATGCTAATTATGCAAATTAAATTGGTAAGCACTAAAAGATAAAAACTGAGTTTTTTTTACCTTCTAAAATAGTAGAGAAAAAGTAAATGGAAAAACAAAACACAACTTAATCTGAAAGAAGGCAAAAAAAAAAAAAACCACCTAAGACACCCCAGAAGAGCAGTAAGGTAACAGAAAAAGTGTTAAAAAATTATAAGATAATATAAGTAAATCATAATATAGTAGTAAGTTCAATAAATATAGATTGATTAAACTCTTCAGGTAAAAGATAACCAGGTAAAAAGAAAGAAAAATTACAGTTTTTAAGAGGCACATCTAAAACATAATAGAAAGGTCCATCAGAAGGATAAAGAAATATATACCATACAAATATTAACCAGCTGGTGTGGCCTTTATATTTGTTAAAGCACAGAGTTTTAAAGCAATGTAGAATGAAATAAAAACATTATTAGGAATAGAGGTCATGACTATAAATATAAGACTCAATTCTAAACTTGGAAGATAATTCTAAATTTGTATGTACTTAATAACTAAGCTTCAAAATATATGAAACAAAAACTGACAAAATTACAGGGAGAAATAAAAAAATGGAAAATAAATTTTGCCATATCAACTTTATATGGACCCATCTCTGACCACAATCCAATTAAAGCAGATATCAGTAACGAGACAGAATTAAAAAATCTATGTTAGGAAATGAAATAAAAGTAACACATATGTAAGTAAAAAAAGAATCATAAAAAATAGAAAACACTTAGAACTTAAAAAAGTAAATATTTCTATAGCACTTACGCATTATTCAAAAGAAAATCATCATGTGAGCTACACAGAACCCCTCTTATCTCTGCTCAAGGGCATAGACAGCAAAAATGTTATAAATTATGTAATTACCATATAAAAGTTAATATATATGTGTAATACATATAAAAAGTGATTTGGAGATCAAGAAATATAAATGCAAGTGCTGACTACCAGAGTATTAAAAGGGAGGCAAACCAACCATCTCTTTTAGAAGTTATACTGAATAGCTAAAGAAAGAAGTTAGTATCTTAAATGTTTAAAGGTCAAAAGCCAATTTTTTCATTTTGGATTAAGAAGTCCCTTAGATCCTTACATAATATATACAAACTCATATGGTAAAGTACTTATTATTCCTATGAGATGGACATCTGCTATCAGAAATCCTTATTGCACCAGTTGAGTAACCACAGTTAAGAGTACATTCCTGCTCACACACAGTCCTATTTCTTGGTTATAGCTTCTGTTCAATGGTGCACTGGCAATTAATAGCATTCCAAAACTGCCTACAGTACAAAGGGAATTTTCATTTAAGGCTCCCCTAGCTTTTCATGTGTGGGATATTTTTGAAAAGTCTGTGTTTTTTTCCATCCACAGAAAGAGAATTAAGAAAATTCCAACATGCCTCTGTGTCAGCAAGAGCCCTTTTGAGTCCAGGTACCAGAGGATGATTGATGAACCTGTCAAGCCTACAGTAGCAGACAGAGAAAGTTGGCAGAAGTTCAATGTTATTGAAAGAAATCTCAAATACTTATTTCATCTCCTCTATTAACTTTAATCACATTTTCAACATGCAGCCAAGAATGCAGCTTTGACAGTACGCCATAAATTTACACAAGCCAGCATTGTCACTTTCTGCACTGGTAAGACTGAGATACATGAGAGAGTTGGATATGTTCTTTCTGTGCCTTTCTTTATTGAAGGGCAATAAAAAATATTTGGAAGATTTATCCATACCTCAAATTCATTTGCCATAAACCTCTTGAAATATTGCATTTAATTTTGCTTTGTTTATGGCAAATAAAAAAAATAACTTAGTTCCTCAATTACACTGTTAAATGCAGATTTTTAAAGCTCACAGTGATGACTGAGTTGGTACATGTTTCATCACAATACACCTGCTTATGAGAACAGATGCTAAACACTAAAAAGGATTTACATTTAACATGGATTATTTGCCATGAGGGCAAATACTTTTGGCATATTCAGAGCCAGAATAATTGTATGATTCCAGAGGAACTCCTTGCAGATTTTGCTGATTACTCATTACCCAGATGAAACATATTTAGAGATTATTTGTCTTACAAAGCTCACCCACAGCAAGAGAGACACAAAAATGAGGTAAATACTATGGGCAAGATTATGGTTCTTGGAAAGGCTAAAAGTCAAACTATATTTTTGGTAAGCTTTTCCTTCAAAGCATGTTTTAAAAGCTGGATGTATGAAGTGCTGGAAGGCCACAAAACTTAATAAGTGTGTCTTGTCAGCAGTGAAACACGTGGTATTATGCTGCACTGCAGACTTTGTAACCTTTCAGCAGTTCAATGACCAACATGTCCACCTTTGCTACAGTAGAGAGTGTTTTACTCTCACCGCTTAAAGGTGATCTCTGTTCCAAGGACCACTGTTTTTGTCTACATTACTCATGGAAAAACACTTGACATATTCTTCCAATAGCCAAGGAGGCTAAAGCGGGCAACTATTATATCTGCTTTCTAAGCCACAATAATAAACTAATATTAACTCCGTATAAGAATGAATTATTTTTCTAAGAGGTCTATACTTTCAGTTCTCTGAGACAATCAATAAAACAAAAGACCAATTCTGATTAACAAAAAAGTAAATTTATCCAATTTTTCTTCATACTCTTGCCCAAATAATCATATATAGGCACTTAAACAGGAAAGATATAGCACTCTTTTTCCACTAAACAATTAGTACTCAGGTAGAAGTTCCTTTCTCCTGATAGGAGTGCCACTAAATATATTGCTAGGCTTGAAGCAGAGGCTAAATGGTTTGATGAGAATAGTTAGTTCTTTGGGGGAAGTCAATGCTTTCACACTGTTGTGGTTCAGGTTCTTAAAAGGTTGAAAATTTTCCAAGGTCCTTCTCCATCTCAGCATATTGTTCTTTAAGCCTCTCCACAGCTTTTCTGTGCTCTTCATCCACTTCAGCCTGTTTGTTGTGTTGTTCTTTCATGAAGTCTTCCCACTGGATTATATGGTGGTTTTCACTAGCTATTAAATGGTCATTATAAATCTGAGGAAAGAAAATTTGAAATTCATGTGACATTTTCTAGACAATTATTTTTCTATGCAGAAGAGACAAACATAACTCTAACTCTTGGTATGTAGTTACTATAGCAACCATAGCTTGAAAATCACAATGATAAAACTGCATTATAGTTTTAATGTCCAACAAGAACATGACATATTAGAAACTTACTATGACTGAACATGGGTATCCACATTGCCAAAATTTCAAAAAATGTCTAGTATTGTTAAATGACAAAATCAAATACAATTCAAGTAAATTTTCATACCTCTATTTCTCCTCAAATCCCATTTAACTGCATTTAACTTTTAAACCAAGCTTAAAGAATATATGCTAAAAATAATTATTATAAGAAATTAAAATGTATGTCTTACACAAAACATTTTTTTAGATGCATTAAAAATAATTATGCATTGTTAGCCACTCAAGAAATCTCTTCTGGTTCAGTTCCATTCCTTAAAGCAAACAAACTCCAAAAGCATCTGTTGTCAAATATCTGGAGATGCTCCTTAATATTTCTATATGAAAATAAAATTTTTGCTTTTGAATATCACAACAATAGAGATAAAACAATGTATAAGTAAAAAAGGCATAAATTTAGTACAATTTCAATTATTACCTTTGAATATGTACAAGCTAAAGAGAAAAAGAGAGCATGAAAAATAATTATACCTCTGCCTCAAATATTCTACACACATCTTTAGCAGTTAAGTTTTGAGACAAGTTAAGTCCTATTCAACAAACAAGCAAAATGTGATGATGCAAACCATAGAAACTTACAAAACACCTGAAGCCATTACTAAACCCAGCACGCTAATGTAGACACCTGGTGTACTTACATATTGGTAGCTCAACTGCTGGAAGAGAGCTATGGGAAAAGATAAAACCAGGTTTTCCTTTGGCCTCTAAAGTACTTGCGGCCTTACTTTCTCTCTTATTGGACATGATGAGAAGCAGGAAGAAGAGCTGGATAAAGCATCACACTCTAAGTACTTATGAAATGCATATTTCTGTTAGCTGTTTTGTATATCTTATCTACTTCTATAAACCTCTCTTACAAGGTTACATTATTCTTACTTTACAGACGAAGAAATAAAGGCTTACGGACACTAAATTTACTTCTCTCTCCATGGCCACTCAGCTATGAAGTTGCAGAGTCTAAAAAGTCTTTCTAACATCTATGCTTTTTCTATCACAAAATGCAAATCAGATCTTTCCAGAGGAAATTCTACATAGGTAGCTAAAAGTCTCTCACAGACCAAATGAAAAAGGCTATTGCAAGAGCTTTTTCTGACAATCCTAAATGAAGTTCCTCAGCACTGAGGCTTCTCAAGTAAAAAGAGGGTGAGGGCCTGAAGTTTGACTTATAGTAAAACATTAGCCTAAAATATGTCCCATAGACTTTTGGAATTTAAATAGGTATTACAGTGGTGAGGAGAGAAGGTTAAGGAGGGTTTTATAGATCCAATAAAGTTGGGAAGCAGGTTAAACAAAATTCAAAACTTTACTTTTTAACTTTTTAGCCTCATGAATTATAATTGTCCAAAAGATGTGTAAAATAAATTATTTTCATAAAACTTTTGCACAATTAAATGAGAAAAGCCATTAGACTAAAAAGAAAAGACAAATACAAATAAATTTCCTCAAAATGGTATCTTGTTTTAGCTGTAAATTAATTTTTTATAATATAGAGAACAAGCTCAGATGTCACTTATAAGTTTATTATTTTATTTTTAATCAAAACACCATAATTGGCTCATCTGACCCTGTGATTTGGACCTGGTTCCACTTCCCACCAGGCAGCTCAATGAAGATTTGGGAGGCAATAAACCTTGCTTCAAATTCTGGTTCACTTATTACCAGTTGTATGATGCTGAGCAAATTAAAAGTTTCTTTAACTTTATATTCATAAATAATATTTGTAAAAATCAGAGGTAATACATTTCAAGTTCCTAGCTCAGTGCCTGTGGTGCTTAATAAAAGATAAATATTATTATTATACAAAATCACACTCTGGCCGGTGTGATTCAGTTCGTTGGATGTTGTCCCATGCACCAAAAGGTTGCTGGTTTAATTCCAGGTCAGGGCACATACCTGGGCTGCAGGCTCAATCCCCAGTACGGAGTGTGCAGTAGGCAGCCCAATAGATGTTCCACTCTCATATCAATGCTTCCCTTTCTCTTTCTCTCTCCCTCTCCCTTCCCCCATCTCTCTCTAAATACTCAATACATTTTTTAAAAAACTCACAAGCAAAGAATCCAGAAGGCATGTCACACTACTTTTTATCCCCTCCAATTTAAGTTTTTTTGCTCTTTAACTGTAATCATTTAATTTTAGTAATACTTTCTTGTAATAATTCGAACAACAGAATTTAACTCAAATAAAAGTAAGTATCCTCTTTCATTCCCGTGTTCACTTCAACATCAGGATTATTACAAATAATTTGTCGGGGAGGGGCTTAAAGATGATCTATTCTAGTGTCAAATATAGACATCTTTCCAAGGTCACACAGTGAGAAAGGGGTAGAATCAATAGTAAAAATCTAGTTTTCTGCTCTTTTTTGCTATATAATGCTGTTCAAACCAAATATTATGAGTCTTGAGGATTGGTTATGTTTTAAAATGGCAAAAATAAACATATTTCACATTTCCATATCAAAATAATTAAGAAATTTTAAAAAACACTATGTGAACCACTTAAGAGAGATATACCCTGTTTCCCCGAAAATAAGTCAGTGTCTTATATTAATTTTTTCTCCCAAAGTTGCCCTAGGTCTTATTTTCAGAGGATGTCTTATCTTTCCATGTGCTAGGTCTTATTTTTGGAGGATGTCTTATGTGGGACTTTAAAAATAAAAGTACAATTAACTTTGGTCTCGTTTTTCTTTGTTTCTTCTAGCAAGTGATCATATGAAATCATGTGGTATTAAAAATTAAATCACACAAGGAGCAGATGACTTTATTAGTGAATCCTACCAAATATTTCAAGAATAACACAAATCCTTTTCCAACGATTCCCAAATAAATTAAAAAGGATAGAAGATTTAACTCATTTTATGAGGCCAACACTGTACTAATACTAACTGATACAACATATACCTCAACAAAAAACTAGCAAACTAAATTCAACAGTATATCAAAAGGATCAGATGCTATAATCAAGTAGGATTTGTTCCTGGAATGCAAGGATGGTTCAACACACGAGATTCAATTGATAAAATACACTACATCAACAGACTGAAGAAAAAACACATAATCATCTCAATTGATACTGAAAACACATTTGACCCACAAACTAGTAATAGTAGAAAACTATCTCATCATAATAAAGGCAATATGTGAAAAACTCACAGCTAATATCATATCTGATTGTGAAAAACTGAAAGGTTTCCCTCCAATATCAAGAACAAGTATTCTGCTTTTCAACTTCTATTCAACATAGTATTTGAAGTCCAACCCGAGCTATTAGGTAAGAAAATAAAAGGCATCCAAAAATGAAAAGGAGAAAATAAAATTATCTGTATTCACAAACAACATGATTTATATGTTAAAAATTGTAAGATTCCACAAAAAAATGGCTAGAAATACTAAAAAAAATTGAGCAATTTTATAGAATACAAAATCAACAGGCAAAGTTAGTTGCATTTCTATACCCTAACAAAGAACAATCCAAAAAAAATTTAAGAAAACAATCCTAACTAATAAAAGAGTAATATGCAAATTGACTATCACTCCAACACACAAGATTGCTGCCCCCATGTGGTCAAAGATGACTGTCCCTATGTGGACACAAGATGGCCAGCATAAGATGGCCAGCAGGGGAGGGCAGTTGGGAGGGACCAGGCTTGCAAGGGAGGGCAGTTGGGGGCGATCAAGCCTGTAGAGGAGGGCAGTTAAGGGTAACCATGCTGGCAGAGGAGGGAAGTTGGGGGCGACCAGGCCTGCAGGGAAGGGCAGCTGGAGGGGACCCAGGCCTGCAGGGTAGGGCAGTTGGGGATGACCAGGTCTACAGGGGAGGGCAGTTAGAGGTGACCAGGCCTGCAGAAGAGTGGTTAGGGGTGATCAGGCTGGCAGGCAGAAGCAGTTAGGGGCAATCAGGAAGGCTGGCAGGCAAGCAGTTAGAAGCCAACAGTCCTGGATTGTGAGAGGGATGTTCGATTGCCTGTTTAAGCCTGATCCTACTGGGGCAATTGGACATCCTTTGAGGGGTCCCAGTTTGGAGAGGGTACAGGAGAGACATCCCCCACCCCCTGCCCTCTGTGCATGAATTTCATTCACCGGGCCTCTAGTTCCATTTATAATAGCATTGAAAAAGAATAAAATACTTAGAATAAATTTAATCAAAGAGACAAAAGACTTGTATGCTAAAAACTACAAAACATTGTTGAAAGAAATTAAAGACACAAATCAAAGGAAAGGCAACTCATGCTCATGGATTGGAAGATTTTATTTTGTTAAGATGTCAATACTATCCAAAGTGATCTATAGATTTGATAAAATCCTTATTAAAATCCCAATGATGTTTTTTACAGAAACAGAAAAATCCATCCTAAAATGTATATGAAGTGACACCAAATAGTCAAAACAAAAACAATTCTTGGAAAAGAAGAACAAAATTGATGTCTCATATTGTGTTAACCATGTGTTCATGATGTTTTTACATCTGGGGTCTTGCTGACCCTGGAGAGACTGTCCCTTCCAGAGCTAGCTTATTCCTAGAGACAGTAAACAACCACCCTGTGAGCATACCTTTTATATGCAAGCCAACCAATACAAAGCCCATACCCAACTATGTTCTTTATTGGACTCACACATTCTAGGCCACTATCTATCTACCCTAGGCCAGGTACCAGACAACTATGCTCTTATGCCCTAGAGCTTGATAAAATTATTCAAACTAGACAACCCTAAACCTGATTACCCTGCTTCACATATAACTTCCTTTGGAAACGACAATAAAAGCTCTTGCCCATGTTTTTCCTCCCT